TGTCTTCCTTCCAAAATGAACAGTATGGAAAGAGTGAGAAATAATAGCTTCACACAGGGGAAACCTGTCAGAAACCAGCTTGGCCCAGCTATCGAGTTCGACATCCAAAGTGATGGACCCCGTTGACAGTGTGCCCTTGATGTGACGAGATGAGCATGGCAGGCACCTTACAGTTGTGTTCTTTCTCCCCAGTCCCGGAGCCCCAGTGTAATCAGGAGAGAAACTCACAAATACCAAGTGAGGACACTCTACAAAATACCTGCCCAGTGCTCCTCAAAACTGTCAAGGTCTTTGTGGAAAAAAAAAAAAAAGATGTCTGATAAAGTACCACAGCTAAAAGGAGTCCTGGAAGAGGTTATGATTCAATGCAGCTTGGCGACCTCGCTGGGATCCTGGAACAAAAAAAAAGAAAGAAAAAAGGACATTAGTTAAAAACAAAGGAGATTTAAGTGAAATCTCACTTTTGTTCATTATAATGTATCAGTACTGGTTTGTCATTAATTGTGGCAAACACACCCTTCTTTCTCTTTGTCTTTCATCAGACACACAAAAAATGCTTTGTGTGACACCTTAAGCGTGGGCCCTGCTTAGTGACCTGCTTGCCAAGTGAACAGTGTAGGAAAGGGGAAAATAAAAAAGCCACTTTATGCTGGAGAGGCCTAGAGAACTGCCTCATCCTGGTGATCAATGTCAATGGCCACAGGTCTTGTCAATAGTGTGTTCACTTAATGTGACATGATGAGATGGCACCTTCCTTCTGTGGTCTTCCTCCAAATAACCCATGATCCCACCATCACTATGAGAAAAAAATCACAACAGCTCCAAACCGAGGGACACTTTGCCTGACCAATCCTCAAAAAGCAAGGCAAGTCTGAGAAGCTGTCGCAGCTGGAGGAACCCTAGGGGTGTGATGACCAAATGTCATGTGGTTAAGCAGAAAAGGACATCCTGTAAAAATGGTGGGATCTGGAAAAAGTGCCAAGTTTAGTTCACTGTAACGTGGCAAGGATGAGGGAACTCTTTGGGGTAGTCAGAACTCGGAACTGACTTCACAACAATTCTCTAAAACTGTTAAAAATGCATTTTTGTTGAAAAAATTCTGAACATGATAGACAATTTTGGTAGTGTTCTTAACACACACAACAAAATCTGGTTCTATTTTTAAGAGCAGATTATTTAATTTTAATAGCTCTGGTCTCTAGACATGTTGGAGGCACTTCGTAGAGGGACACGGACTGAAGACACTTTCTCTGCTTCAGTGATTTTGTGTGGCTCTAGTCTTGAGTTGGGGTGCATGGCATTTGCCTGGTTTGCATGGCATGTCCACACCCTGTCAGCCAACAGTAAGACACTGGTCACTGGCTGAAATGCTCTGTTGTAGTGGATACCAAATCTGCCATTTGCACCTCGGCAAGCCGCCAGGAACAGAATGGACATTGAGGATAACAGAGAAATGCTTTTTGAGGCTTGTGGTGCCTACAGATTGGGTTGATTTCTGTCAGCCATTGTGGAAGGTAAAAATAAAACTTTCTCAGGATGACATTTTTGCCATGTGGCCAAAGAATAAAACATATTTTCTCTTAAGATGTTCAAAGTACACATCATATATAGCAAAGTGCACTACATAAATTAGACATTTTGTGAGGTTTCATTTATTTGTTATATTATAAAAACATAGAAGTTGACATTTAATTATTAAATGTCTTCCTTCATAACTCATTTGAGAACAATAAATTTAAACTTTACTACTTTCTCTGGGCAAATAGGAAACATGTATTCCTCTTTCACTGTGGAGCAGCTCTCATGAAGGCAAACGTGTCGTGTGCTCCGGGAAAGGCATCAGGAGTTGGGCTCCTGTCCACTAGTGATCCTTGCAGCACAGTGCTTCCCAGAGCCTCCCTGTCAGCCACAGTCTGGCTTGATGCTGGTGTGGCATGCTAACAGACGGGAGACAGGCCTGCCTTGTACAGCAGCGTCAGCTGCCAAAGTTACTCATAGGGAGTAAACCTCACAGGTGCTGTTAGGTCAAAAAAATTCCTTTCTTTTCTTAGAGATATTTTCATGTGACTGAATGTTGGATTTTGTTGTTGTTCCTTCTGTTCTATTGAGATAATTTATCTTTTATCTTTTATTTTGTGAATATGACTTATCACATTAGCTATTTCTGGATTTTAAGCCAATCTTGCATTCCCAAGATAACTCCTACTTGGTCATGGTATGTAATTCTTTCTCTGTGTTGCTGAACTCAGTTTGCTACTATTTGATTGAGGTTTGTTCTGTCATTGTTTATGAGTGATGTTGGTTGGTGTTTTTCTTTTTTTCTGATGTCCAGCACTGGTAATCAATGAGTAAATACTGACTTTTTAGAATAAACATGTTCCTCACTCCACCATAATAGAAGTACCTCTCATTGCTCAGGGCATTTTTAGTTGTTCATATATTTTGGAATGTTCAACTGGCAGTGGTGGAGACAGACGGAAAGAGACTTGCCGGTCGAAACCTTTGTTAGGGTTCAGGGCATTACCCAAGCAGATGCCCCAAGGAAAGATCTCTTATTGGTGAGTCTGGAGCAAGAAGGCACAAGCTGTATGGAGTCATGCTAGGAGCAGAGGTGGTCACTGTGGCCTATCTTCACAGTCTGTAAGAGGGTAAGGGTCACTGGGGTGAGTTAAACATCTAGCTGCCTCCTAGGGAAGCAGCTCCCATGAAATGGTTGTATAAGGTAGATGCTTGGGTCAAGCATCTTGAACAACTGAAAGGAGGCAGAGAACTGGAAACTCTCGAGGTTGACCAAGTTCTGCTTCTGATATGAGAAAGGTAAACAAATTCAAAATGGGTATTGAAGCAACATAAAAACTATAAGAATTAAGACTTATCTTTCATCTGGGCCTGGAATTTTCTTTTTAGGAAGGCTTTTTAACTATTAATTCAATATCTGTAATATATGTAGTTTATTCAGATTTTGAATTTTGAATTAATTTTGGTCATTCACATAAGGAATCATCCATCTTCCTCTGAGTTTCCCAGTGTATGAGCATGTCATGGCTCATGATATTTTTTTAGTGTCCTTAATCTCTGTAGAATCTGTAGTGATAACTCCCTTTCATTCATGAAACTGGTCATTTTTTTAATCTTATATTTTCCTTGAACAGTTTGACTAGAGTTTTTAAGCTTTATTGTTCTGTTACCAGTTCTGGGTTTCACTGATTTTTCTCTATTGATGTCTATTTTTAATTTAATCTAAGCTTTTATTATTTTTATTTTACTTATATTGGAATTAATTTACTCTTTTTTCATAGTTTCTAGAGGTAGAATCTTTATTTGAGATCTTTATTCTTTTTCAACACATATATTGCTAGAAATTTCCCTCTAAGTACTGCTTCAATTACATTCCATGAATTTTGACATTTTGTATTTTCTTTTTCATTCTGTTCAACATATTTTTAATTGGGACATTATAATTATACATAATAATGGGATTCACTGTGACATATAACATTTTAAAAAACTAAAAATCAATATCAATTTTGTCCCTCAGTACCTTCCCTTTTCTTCCCCTGCTCCTTTCCCAGGATTCCCTTCCTCTGTTCTACTGGTCTCCCTTCTAATTTCATGAGATCCCTGCCCCCGTTTTTTGCTTTTTCTCTTTAGTTTTCCCACATGAGAGAAAACATATTTCCCTTGACTCTCTGATTCTGGCTCCACTTTCACTTAATATAGTATAATGCTCTTAAATTCAATCCATTTTCCTTCAAATGGCATAATTTCATTCTTCTTCATGGCCAAGTAAAAACTGTAAAAAAAAACTGCATTTTTATGTTTTTAAATATAAAAACTGCATTTTTAGATTTTCTTAATTCATTTATCTGTGGATAAATACATTGGCTGGTTCCATAACTTGACTATTGTGAATCGTGCTGCTATAAACATGGTATGCATGTATCACTATGCTAATTTCGGTTCTCCGGATAAATACCACAAAGAGTGGGCTAACTGGGTTGTATGGTGGTTCCATTCCTAGTCTTTTGAAGCACCTCTATACTTGTTTTCATGATGGTTTAATTTACAATCTCACCAATAATATAAAAGTTTTTCTTTTTCTCCCAAATCCTCACCAGCATCTATTATTATTTGTATTCTTAATGATTACTATTTTAACTGAAATGAGATGAAATCTCAGTGTAATTTTGATTTGCATTTCCCAAATTGCTTAAGAGCCAACATATTTTCTAAATTTCCTTGAGACCACTTTTAACTGCACCCTTACTAAGAAGCATTTGGACATTAAAATGCGTCCCTATAAGACAGCAGGGCTTTGATGCTCAGCAGTTCCCACTGTGGAAGAATTCATCAGATATAATCAGGGGGTCAAGACCAAGTTGCACCAAAAGGATTTCATGTCTAGACAAAGTGGGTGTCATTTACTGTCCTGCCAAGGATCAAGAAGGATTTTAACAGAAATTCTCATGATTAGAATAGTGGGAACAGGCTAGAAGCTACTGCTCTTTACCCCAGGTGTAAAGGTGCAGAGCAGTGGTGCTTGACAAATGGCCCTCTGGGGTTCGCAGGGGATGCAGCTTCACCCACTGCCAGCCACAGAGGGGCTGAGATGGAGGTAGCCAACGAGTGCGTAGGGCAGCAGGGGAAGGGAGACTAGGGGCAGAGGCCAGAATTTTCATCTTAAAGTATGCTTTTAAATAAAAGAACAATATATAGATTTCATGATTTGGGTTGTTGTGAAAGATATTGCATGTAATTACAATAAGGTTCACACAGCCAGTAAGAGCTATTCTCAGATTTACTGACTGTACTTAGTAGCATCTCCCCCAAAACTGTGTTTCATATTAATATAGTAAATGTTAATAGGCAGGAAACATTGGCATTGCTTATTTTGTTCATGTTTAATAAAATATTATTGCATTTTAAATACCCTTAAATGGTACATATTAATTTAAGAATATATATTTTAGCTAAAGCTATTTTCCTGTTATTATTAACAGAATATCCAGGGTATTTCCAAGCACTCAATTCAAATTGCTAAGCCTCTGAATTTTAAAGGTAATATTTCTTTCTGCCTTACTAAAATCTTGGGTAACATATTTAAAACTTAGAAGTGTTTTATAATTGTTTTTCTATAACTAACTGCTCCACTTTGCTGAAGTTCTCCTTTGTTTGCATGACCAGGATTTAAATATACATTGAAAAAATAAAGAGTAGCTGATGTGATATGGGACCTCCCTTTTAGCAGCTTACAAGTTAAAATAGATAGTAATTATAACTCCCCTCCTACTATCTCTCTCCCACCAACTTCCTGATAAAGAAAAAAAGAACTTACATTCAGTAGCACTGGCTTTTATTAAAGTCTGAAAATTACTGGAAATATTTATAAAAGCACACACAATTTTTTTTTCTCTTGAGTTATTCTACTGTAATGCTGATGTTCACATTTCTGAGAAAGGGAAGCTCCAGTTGGACAAATTGGTGCTGTGTTGCCCATTCCCAACCTTTTGTTTCAGGGCCAGTGCTTCCCCCTGGGCTGTGGGCACACAATGAAGCACCACAAATGGCCCTTTCTAAACGTAAATGTTTACACTCAAACAGAGTCCATGGAAGGTGACCACCAGCCACTCTGCCTCCTACGCCATTTTCAGATTTCTCCAGTGGGAAAATCACAACTGCATGGCCCTGCATAGATCTAACAGTGAAACTCAGAGTCTCGAGCACTTTTACTAGAATGTTCAGGCATCAATATTTGGCTTTTCCCTTTGTCAAAACCTCTAGAAAAAAAAAACAGGAAATTTCAATAAGAAAATCTCACTAGCTTTATGTAATACTGTTCTTTTAAATTACATTAATAAAAATAGTTGTAAGAATTAAGAATCTAAACTCTTAACTTTGGGTGGTATTAAAATAACTCTACACTGAGGAATATCTTCAAGTGCACTCACAACCAAACTCACTATGTGCTCTTGCAATGACAATTTAGGTAAAGAAGATGAGACTTTCACCATCTCCCCAAGAACCCTGCTTGTTTCCTCCAGGGGCCACATCTTCCTAGCAGCAGGTATGTGCTAGCAACAATGGAGGATAATCTGTACCACTGTAGCTCACTCATTGTGTTTTCATGCAGTTCAAATATTTACAAATTGAATAATTCAAAGGTACTTACAGAATTAATTTCTTCAATTAAATCCTAAGGCAAATTTGTGCCCAGTAAATAATAATAGGTCTTTGGCTTCTAGGGTCCCTGCACTTTGCCATATCTAGATGGCACACACCCTGCATGGCCTACTCAACCTGCTGCCTTCCTCAGTCCTCATCTCAGCTCCCACCCCTTGCTCACTCCAGGCAGCCACATTGGCTGCTGGCCATATGTTATTCCTCTACTTCCCAGATGCCTCTGGGCTCCCGCTTTGCCTCCTCACATATAGCTCAGCGTCCCTTTCTTGGTGAGGTCTAGGTCTACAAGTGTCTACAAATTGGGGAACTGACTGATCACATTAGCACTTGCCTGCACACACACACCACTCATGCCCAGACCGAATCGTTTTACCTTGGTCTGTGTTTTCCGTTTCATTTCTCCCCTTCTGACATACCAAGTAACTCAAACTGTCCCCCTTGAGAATGTGAGCTCCATGGGGTAGGGAACTTGGCTATTTTGCTCATTAATGCAACCCAAGAGCACAGCCTGCATAGAAGGCTCTTACTAACTATGATGTGTGCACTGAATGAAGTAACAAATAAACACTCCTGTCCTGGAGGGAGGCCTTGCTGGCCTCCCAGAAGGCAAAGGGTGTCTTCAGACAGCTGACACAGAGGTGACACTTGGGTGATCATATGACCAGAGGAGTCTAGCCCTTGGAGGTGGGGATGTTAAGTTCAACCCTGGATAGGGAAAGCAATCTGAGGGTGGCTGGGTGAGCAACAGCAGGGCATCGTTGGTGAATTCCCATTTGACACAAAGCTCTGTCTCACAGACTTTTCACAGATTGAATTGCGCATTCTTGCGCATTTATCTGGAGATCCAGAACTTTTGAAGTTATTCCAGGAATCTGAAAGAGATGATGTGTTTTCTACCCTGGCTTCACAGTGGTAAGATATTGAGCCACAATATCATCAGATCTAGGAATGCTAACATGAGTTTAAAAGTGTGAAGTTATTCCAAGGCTATTTTCATAAGAAAGAAATTCAGTTTTTCTCTAGTAGTTAATCATTTTGAAAAGATGTAGATAGCCAGGGTGCCAAGAGCTTCCTAATTCTGAAAGAACTGATGGATCTTCACCACTGAGAAGAATGTGATAGGAATGTTGGAAATACACACAGGAAGAAAGGGGAGCCCAGGGCTGGGGGCGGGGGCCAAGGAGAGCAAGTGTCAAGGCTGGGTGAGGTGGGCAGGAGTGATGGGCTCCATTGGCTGTCCATGCCTGAATTGGTCTGTCTCATAAAGTACTGGAGACAGTTGGCCTCAGGTTTTATTGGCCCAGATACATCACTATCTGCACAAAGTTAGGATTTTGCTATGAGGAAGAGGAGGGCAGAGTGGGCTAGCTGTTGGAAGCTTGCTGTGCCTGCCATCACTGTTCCTTCTCTGAGCAGCTTCAGGTACCCCCTTTTCTCACCTTGGTCCTCTCCTTCAGGCTGCCCCACTGTGGCCCTCCTCCCACCTCTCCTACCTTATCTCCTGTTATTTGCTTATCTCAGGATCATTAGAGAGGTCAGTTCCAGGAAGGCTCTCCCCACATAGGGCCCTGTGCTTCCTTCTCACACTCTTTTTTGTCACAGCCCTCCTGGAGGCATATGAGCTCCACAGAGGCAAGGCCATCTCCCATTGTCCAGGACAGGTATACTGGCTGCTTTCTGGCCCCATGGCCACCTACTTTCTGGTCCTCCCTGGCTGGGCCCCAGTATACCAGCCACCTGTCTCACTGGGGCCTTTCCTTCCCCTGGGCTCTGGAAGCTCTCCCTAGCCTTATCTAAGCCTACCCTTAGGCATGTACTGGGGGCTTCCCTGGCACCATCCTGACCTTCCCCAGCTCTGCTGCTCTCTGTCCACACATGTCATCCACTGAGTACCAGTTCGGTTCCCTGATGTGCTCTACCAAGCCATGGGGCTCACGGAAGTTTTCTCAAATAAATGAGTGGATAGTGCAGAGTTCATACTTTCCTGTGCATTTTCCAAAAATACCAGCGCTACAGGACTTTCATTTGAATAATAAAATTCAGGAAATATTTTATGAGAAGGTGGTAGGGAGTCAGAAAATTACTGTGCACTAAGATGGACTTAAGTGTGGATAGTTGTAGAAATGTGTTTGTTTGGAACATCAGGCAAAGCAGCAAAACCAAGGAATAATGGAATATTTGCCAAGCCCAAAAGAGGGGTCCTGGATGGACATGATGGATATGACTCTGTGGAGTACAGAACCATCAGGAGCCAAGTGCAGCTCATAAGCTCCAACCAAAGTCCAGCCATCTGCCATCTTCAGGGACTTCCTCTCCTGTCCCAACCTTCACCTTCCTCCTTGGCCTTGCTCTGGACCCTCTGCAACTCTCTCCTTCCATACCCAGTGGTTTCTGCCCTGGCTGTGTCCTCTCTGGCCTAAGCTCCCTACCTCTGGGCACCCCAGACGTATGCTTGGTCCCCACTGCCCTACTCCTGTGCTCAGCCGTCCAGCCCTACCCCCCACACCTCCCGCCCTGTACCTGTCACACAGTGGGGCTGCAGTCGTTGTTATTTGTCTCTCCTCTGCACCATGCTGAGCTCTAAGGGCCCCGATTGTGTATGCCTGATGGTGCTGGACACCTAGTCAGGCCTGGGGATAGACAGCAGGTGAAGAACTGCATGGACCCCCTCTCCTTGGCACTCAGCCCCAATGGCTGCCCCCTTTGGACTCAGTGTTCTTTTGTCTTCTCCTCCATGGTTACTGGTTTCTAGTCCTGGGTGATGCCCATGCCACCTCCCAGTCTTGCAGCCCAGGCACTGGGGAAAGTCGTAAAGTGGGAATGATTGAGTTCATGTGACATTAAGGTCATCAACCTGAGAGGGACCTGGTCTCGTCAGCCACTCCAAACATTTCTGTTGTCTCACAGATCTCTACCCTTTTCTCAATCTTAAAAGAGGACCCTCTTACCTAAGTGAGGTTCAAGTTCCTAACTGTGCCTCCTCTCTGCCTGGTGTTTCCCTGTGCAGCTCCTCCCACTGTCCCACAGCTCTTGTCTCAGAAGGTGATAAGGGAATATTGGAAGCAAAATTGTTTTCAAAAAACCAGTTTCTTGACAACCACAAACTACCAAAGCCTAACTCGAATGAAACTGATAACCTGAATATTCCTGTAATTATTAAAGAAATTGAATTTATAACTGAAAGTTCCTAAAAAGAAAACCCCAAGTCCAAATGACTTCATGGGAGGATCTTATCCAATATCTAAAGATAAGTTAAGTGATACAACCTAATCCAAAAAACAGAACAGGAAGGATCCCAATTCATTTGTGAAGCTAGTGTTAATCCTGATGCCAAACCAGACAAAGAAAGTTGAAAAGTAGAACAAAACTACAGACTAAATTAATAGATATATTGTAGAGCTGGGGTTGTGACTCAGTGGTAGAGGGCTTGCCTCACACGTGTGAGGCACTGGGTTCACTTCTCAGCACCACATATAAATAAATAAATAAAGGTCCATCAATAACTAAAAAAATTTTAAAAAATAAAAAGAAGAGAGATATTGTGTTCATGGTACAGAAGATTTGACATATGAATGTGTCAGTTCTCCCTAAATTGACCTGTAGGTTTGTAATGTGGTTTATTAGTTTATTTAAAACTCAGGCAAGGTGTCCATAGACACAGAAAAGCTTATTCTAAAGTGTGTATGAAAAGGCACAGACCTTAGAAAAGCTAAAACAATCTTGACGAAAAATGAGCTGGGAGGAATTACTTCCTGATAGACTTAATGTGCGGCAGAGAGATAGACACATAGATCAATGGAACAGAAAAGAAGAGTCAGCAATAGGCTCACCAAATATGCTCAACTGTTTTTTGACAAAGGCATAATACATGTGGCAGAAAAGAATTGTATTCAGATTCATGTCAGGCTGATCATGCACAAAGACAGCTTGAATTGCACATGTCTACACTGGATATTTTGTATGTCTTCCCTGCATTTTATTAGCTCTTATTAGTGTTTGGGAGACCTTCAGAAGTAAGAGCTTTTAATATATGTATTATGGTTGCCTCTAATTTCCTACCAGCAGTAGTAATTCTGCATTTGTGACTTACAGTATAATTAGTTGCTGTGGAAATGATTTTTATGTTCTAAACAGAGGACTAGAATAGTACATGGTAAAAAAGACAGATCAACTACACATAAAAATGTTTGTTCCTTCTAAAAGCCTTATTGTTTGAAACACAAAAGGCAGAAAGGCAAGTATTCTGAAATATTTAGTAACATTATCCAAAAGTAACAACTTCTTTGAAAAGCCTTTAAGATTACAAAGTTATATAAATATGGAATTTGGCTGCTTGGGAGGCAGAGGCACAAGGATTGTGAGTTCAAAGCCAGCCTCAGCGAAAGCTAAAAATAGGGCTGGTATGTGGCTCAGTGGTCAAGTACCCCTGAGTTAAATCCCTTGTGCCCCCCCAAAAAAGATGGAATTTGGGAGGAGTAGTGGAAATCATCTGTGAAGCCGCAAATTGACAGACGGGTGCCAGAGAAAAAGCAGGGACACAAGAATCAGGAGAATTCAGAGCTGCCCTCCCACTCCCACCGCTAGATAATCATGAGATCTTAGGAGTTGGTGACTTATGGCCTGCTGTATCAAATCCTAAAACATGGTACTGGCTGCAATATGTCTATTGGAGGCTAAAAGATGGCATCCAATAAAATGTGATAACTAATCACTGTGATTATTTGTAGGGCAGATAATAACCCTAATGAGCTTGTGGCTTTAGGCAGAGCTGGGCCAACAAAATGCTAGCACATGCTTGGATTGCTATTGTCTGCATGTGACAATGAAGAAGGACAAACTTGGAAAAGAAGTGCCAGTATATGAGTAGGAATGAAAGGGAATAATGAGATTTCAGAAAGTTGGAATATGTCAATGATTTTCATCTTCACCCAGTGAAAGATAAGTTTTAAAAGGTCTGTAAATTAAAACGCACAAATCAGGCTGGGGTTGTGGCTCAGTGGTAGAGAGCTTGCCTCGTATGTGAAGCACTGAGTCCAATCCTCATCACCACATAAAAATAAATAAATTAAATAAAAGTATCATGTCCATCTACCACAGATATATATGTATATATACACACACACACACACACACACACACACACATATATATATATATATATATATATATATATATATATATATATATATATATATATAAAACACTCAAATAATCAAAGGTGTGAGTGACCCTGAAGCCTATTGCTAACACATCTGAAACAATTAAGGTAGCACCCAAAATCCTTATATTTGTACATCTATGGAAAGAAAAGAATAGAAAGCATTAAAAGTTTGTGCCTTTCCCACAAACTCCCAATAACTCAAGGTTCCTGCAATGAAATCTGGAGAGAGGACACATCTCTAAATGAGTTGTGGATGTGTCTCAGGGAGCATGGAGCTGACCAAAGTCAAGTGGAAGGAACTGATTCTGTTTCTGAGAGCTGTACTTCCCACAGAATCACCAATCCAAGCTGAAATATTCTATGATTATTTGATGCTTAAAGCAACACTTGGACCCCGAGTCTTCGGAAGGCAAGAATCAGTCTGGGAATCGGGCTCATTCCCCAAGGAAAGCAGCTTCTACATTGTCCTTTTACACAAAACCAAGAAGGGCAATGGAAAAGAAGTCCAAAAAATGGAGCAAAAACCCACGGAGAGTGATGGGCTAGGAATAGATTCCCAAGGGGACAGCTTCAGGGACTAACCAAGGCCCTCCACTTCCACTTAGTGAGAATCCAAAGGTGCTAGGGACCAGTGATGCTGGGTCTCTGTTCTTCCCTTTTTAAATGGGATGTTTATCATGGCTTTCCTGTCCCTGTCCTTGTCCACATGTGGAGCAGTAGATGGGCTTGCGCATCAGGCCCTGACAAAAAA